CCACAGGAACGTTGCTGCAAGACAGGCATATGTAACGACGACTTAGCGCTCTTAAACGCGTGTGTCATTAAATACAGTCCTCCTGACAACAGGCCAGTGAAAAATCTAACAATCTACAGCAAAACCATCAATTATTATGGGCGTTATAACATACGTGTGCAGCTGGACGAAACATACACGTCGAACCCCCCCAGACGATTTAAATACCTGACGAAACATACACGTCGAACCACGGCAACGGGTTAATGACACTGCCAATAATTCAGACTACGTATGAGTGAACTGTAGGATGAGTAATGAATAATTGGAAATGCAGTAGTGGCCTATTTAAGGTACTATCTTGAGGGACTGAGGAAAATCACAAAAAACCTTAGTATAGTTATTGTCCTGACTGGGGTTTCAACAAGGCACCTCCCAAATATGAGAGAGATAAGTGTTATTGGCTGGGACAACTTGCTAATCAGAATACAGAATATATTGTATTTTGATGGCATTTCATGTACTTGGTTACTACATGTTAGGTCTGTGACCAACTGGTTCAGTGCTCTGCGTGTTAACCTCATTTTTCAATATGCTGTCGTGAACATCTACCGTATTTACACATGTATAGGCCGCACATTTTTTGCCAAAAATTCAAGAGGAAAACTGGGGTGCGGCTTATATTCGAAATATTCGAAATCACACTTCATTTTAAAAAAAATATATTCATAATTAGTAATACAGGGTGTTCTACTCCTGAACTAATATTCCAAGAAAATTATTTTTCTATAATTTCTATCTGAAAATTGTGCTGCGGCCTATACACGCACGCGGCCTATACATGCGTAAATACGGTATTCTGAATTTCATACATGGTATATGTGACCAAGTACAGTACAGTGCTTTCCTTGTGCTGATTTCACATTACTAGTTGCAACTACATTATATTGCCAACATATCCATTTATATATCTGATTTTTTCTAAGAGACTGGAACAATCAAGTCAAGGAGGATGAGGTTGGAAGGGCATGTAGGACGAATGGGGGAGACAAGAAATGCATATAGGATATTGGTGGGGAAGCCAGAAGGAAAGAGACCACTGGGAAGACCAAGGCTTACATGGGTGGACAATATTAAAATGGATCTTAGAGAGACAGAATTTGATGGATTGGACTGATCTGGCTCAGGATAGGGACCAGTGGAGGGCTCTTGTGAACATGGTAATAAACCTTTGAGTTCCATAAAATGCTGGGAAATTCTGGAGTAGTTGCAGAATTGGTGGCTCCTTCAGAAGGGCTCAGCTCCATGAGTGAGTAAATAAGTAAGATTGTTATGCCAACACATTTCTTTATTCACAAAACTGGTGTTTTGAATGACGAGTGAAATTTCCTAAGGTGGTCATTCATGTAAAGGTGACAGACATAATCATGAACATTTTTCTAGCCATACGTGTCATTGGAACAGTTCTATGTTCTTTGCCAAATTAAAATTATACTGTAACTGGGATTTGTTCCTTAAATATATGTTACAATTTTCTGAGTTTAATGCATTATATAATGAATAATTTATAAGATACAAGAATCTGGTAGCGTGTGACTTGAAGGTCAGAGCATTGCTAGGAGTGTTGCATGACATGATATGGATCAGTTGTGAGGTTGCTATGGCGCCTTTATGCCACAAACAGGTACATTATTGATTATGTCACGTTGGTTTAAATACACCTATGAGAGGGGAAAGCTGTAGTCATGCCACATTAACCTATATTCATTAGTGAGAGTCAACATCATCATCTGAGGTAGTGCTCCTCTGAAGCTGGAGAGACGTTGGACATAGGTGCCTTTAAATTACATTTAGTTTGTTCCATGTAACGTATTGTGACATGTTGCATTATGGTGATTTGTACATAGTAAAGAAGTGATATGTTAAATTTATGCTGTTAATCGTGGACCTCTCAGTCAGTATGGGTCAGGCGAAGGAGCGTAAGTGCCGTGAACCTGATTGGCTGCGTGACCTGGAAGCCCGACTGTGTTCAGTCATTGTTGTAATCAGCTTCACAATTGCTATAATTTCTTTAGGTTTATTCACTGATTCAGCAATATTATCTTTGTCTGTCGAATTTACACCAGCCATTTGTAGGACCACCAATGTGAAACATTTGAATGGTAGTACAAATTGTCTGTGGACATCTTGCCGTCAAAGCTGCACAGCGACTGTTTACAATTGTTCACAGATTTATGTGAACTACATGCTTAATGATACAAATGTGAATGACACATTCATTTCTGTGGCTGATAACAGTACGTACCCATCATGGAGTCTGGAAGACAGCAGCAGTCTGTATGTGGACATGTTGAGTGACATGGAAACAAATTCCAGTTCAGTGAACAGTTCTTTGCCGTTATATGTAAATGTGAATGGATGTGGCTACGAACCTGAAGTTTCATGCCATAATTTCTATCAGCAGTATGGTAATGCTGGAATTTCATTTAATTGTGAAGTCAGCTTCAGTGTGGACCCACCAATAGTCATCCCAGATTCACCACTCAACATTGACACAGATAAAACTGCACTGATTAATTACCTGGTCTTATCCTTAATGCCACTGGTTTTCTTTTTTGTTTGCTCTCTATATATTTATTGGCGGAAGTTGTTCAAACCAAAACCAAAGAAAGATTTACGTCGATGTGTGAAAAAGAAAAGAGTCGAGAGATCTGGAAAATTTTTTGAAAGTAAAGTAAAAGAAATGAATACGTTGGAAGAAGCCAAGACGTCAGACTCCCCAGCAGAACTGCTGAGTGTCAGATCTGTTGAGAGTCAAGTGAACAGTAAACAAGAAGCGCCTAAACAGGCCTGCCCATCCTTCATCAACGTTCCAGTGTCAACCTCTACAGCAGTGAATGTCAGCTTTGCAGACTGGGAACAGTTCTTGTAATGCACACATTAAGTAAAGTAAGTAAAGTAAAGCTATCCCTGTAACAGGCCATGAAGGCCCATAGGGTTGTGAGACGTTGAGGGTCCCACATTATCTAGACAATCGGCTCAAAGATGGCGGTAAGGTTGTCAGCCTTACGCGCCGGCCACGCTTTACTCCCCAGGAAAATTAATTAATTAATTCCTGGTACTCATTTCTGTTAGAGGCTGAGTAAACCCCAGGGCCTAGTGCGGCTGGAAGGGTTAGGTCAATTGAAAAAAAATCCAATGGCCTCATCAGGACCTGAACCTGCGACCTTCCAGCTTGTAGCATGTCCCCTCATCCAACTACGCTACTGCGTACCCCCAGTGCACACATTAAGGAAGAAGTAACTTTTCTCGTATTTATATATTTACTTTTATTTATCTGAAGACAATTTACACTTTTACATAAAAGCAATAAGGAACTAAATGGTTAAGTTTTAGCACATAATTAACAGTTGGTTACAATTAAATTTGATATGACATGTTTATGTACAACTTCAACTAATTGCTTAACTAACAACATGGTACAACATCTTCCTCCTTCAAGTCAGAAAGTTGCCTGAAATTTCATCACTAGATTCATAGGGTGCCATCATTGGATTCTGTTCTAATCCTGTCTATGCTTACATCTCTGCTGACGTAGATATTAAAGTACAGAAGTACTTATGGGAGAACAGGGACATGTAAAAATCCTTCTTATTTGATGACTTCTCTCATTGACGATGCTGTGACTTTAAATATCTCCAGTGTAGAAACTAACACATTAGTCTTTTAGAGAAAAATCTGTGATGATTCATGAATTAGTTAGCAATGATGTTGCAGTTATTGAAGTTGTAATTAATATCTGTAATGGTGATGGCGCTGAGTGTAAGGAGGACAAAAAGAAAAAGGCTAGTGGAGGAGACTCAAAACAGTCTTCGTGTTATGTGTTCTTCATACTCAATATTGGATGGCATAAAAAAATGCTTTCCCTATGCTGCATGGAGCAGAACTGTCACTTGGAAAGAACAACAGAGATTGGTGGTATTTGAGAACATGATACATACATGGACATACAGTAGAGGAAGTAACGAAGAAGGAGAAAATTGCATAGTGTCATCCTCATATTATATTGTAACGTGTTTGGAGTAGATACTTCCATGATAACGCAATAACAGTTGGAAGATAGCCACCGCAGAATACAGTTGAAGTGTTAACAATTGTACGGTGTGTAAGAGTGAATGTCCAATAAAGATTCGCTGAATCCGAGATCCACGTGAATTTATTTGTCGCATGACATACCCCAACACGTGACAATATCATTATGGTGATGAGGAAAGAAAGAAAGAAATTTATACAAGCGTCTGTTTCAAAACAAACTATGAAGATCACAGTCTCCTGGAGCGTAGCACTACATGTCACATCCCAGAAGACAACAATCTTCAGAATCCCTGTAGTGGAGCCTCAAACCTCACGCTTGAAAGTCAAGGCATCAGTTGGAGTGTAGTGTAGGTGAATAAGGAATGAATTGATTGACCTCTATCAGTACAGGATCCAGTGATGAGGTTTTGTGATTGATCTTTGTGTCTCCAAAGTAGACATGGAAACGCTTTAAAAGGATGGTAGATATTTCAGGTGAATAAAGTACTTTACTTGTATTAACAGACATTTTGAACTATAGAAAGAAATGCATTTGGTACATTAACAGAACTGAGATTAACTGACTGAAACAGGAAACCAAGGATGACCATTAAGAGACTGCTGGACAATGAAGTCCAAAATTGGTCAATAAATGGCCTGATTTCTTCACGGTCTGATGATGTGTTCAGCAAAGACCTTGTATCATGGAGTTAGTTAATTTACTGTAATTTTGATGCTGTTTAATTAATGTATGTGTACTGGTTTATTGTGCCACACCCTACAGTTGCACTGGGAGACAAACATGAGATGACATGGGAGTGGTCACGTCTCCACCCCTGTATGTCACCTGATATAACAGGAAATGGACTGAAAGAATTATTACGCCTCTCATTTGGTTTTCATTTAATTTTACATATGTTTCATCTTTAAGGTTGCTTGCCGAAATATGATGAAATTTGTTATGGAGGACTTCTCAAAAAGTTGTTACAGAAACACAACTTTAGTCTATTGTTCCAGTGAACCCCCTGCTGCTGTATGTATTGGTAATGTTTATCGTGTTAGAGAACAATCACTCTCTCACTCAGTAGCCACTTAATAGCTTGATGTCAGCTTGTTCTCATCCACTGCTATTTCACTGTGTGCAACTGTGCTGTCTTTTTCTTGCTTCTTGTGCTGCCAGAAGTGAGCTAATTCTTTTTAATTCTCTTAGTGAGGAGTGGAGTCCAACTGGATCCACTCGGCACGATGACCACTGATTGGCCTATTGTAGCCTGCCCCGGGTGATTATGATGATGGAGAATTTGATGGAATGCAGATTGGCAGGGGAAATCGAAGTACTCGGAGAAAACCTGCCTCAGCACCACTTTGTCCACCGCAAATCCCACTTGACCAGACCCAGTATTGAATCCAGGCCGCCGCAGTGGGAAGCCAGTGACTAACCACTTGAGCTATGGTGCAGCCCAGCACTGAACTAACTTCTTGTCTCACTGTGTGCATTGATTCACGTCTGTTTCTGGTTCATGGTGGGACTTAACAACTGCTGTTGAGAACTCTGCTACACTTTTGTGCAGGCAGTCATTCTGCAAACTTCTGCAGGTTCCGGGCCATCAGTGCATGCTGAGAGGTTCACAAAGAATCTAGAAGCCAATGGAGAGGGGGAGGGGGGTATGAAGTCAACAAGCATCGAGTATGCGTATACTCCCTCCCTAAGCTTGGGTCACATTGGCTCATCCTACAAAATGTTGGTACATGACATTACATCTTATTAAGGTCCACAATTTCTGTTTGAAACATTTTGTAGTGTCCAATTGAAATTACGTTACTCACTCACTCACTCACCCATGCACCCACAGAGCTGAGCCCTTCTTGAGGAGCCGCCAATTCTGCAGCTACTCAAGAATGTCCCAGCATTTTATGGAACCCAGAAGATTTATTACCATGATCACAAGAGCCCTCCACTGGTCCTTATCCTGAGCCAGATGAATCCAATCCATACCATCCCATCCTATCTCTCTAAGATCCATTTTAATATTGTCCACCTACCTACAACTTGGTCTTCCCAATGGTCTCCTACCTTCTGGCTTTCCCACCAATACCCTATATGCATTCCTCATCTCCTCCATTTGTGCTACATGCCCTGCACACCTCATCCTCCTTGACTTGATCATTCTAATTATACTTGGAGAAGAGTACGAGTTAATGAAGCTCCTCATTATGCAGTAATTGAAATTACAGGGACATATAATTTCTGACAGTGCAGTGTGACGAATGTGATTGATTTTACAAGGATAGATTTTTATCTGCAGTAAATGAAGAGCAGATCAAGTGAATTGGCTCAAGCAGTAACGCTTCTGACTTGTATTTGGGAGGTGTCCAGCTCCCATCTCAGCTGGAATATCAATTCTCCTGACACATTTGATCAGAGTCTGTTGTATGTTTTAGATGGAGACACCCCTCTGTTACATCTTCATTTTTTATACCAGTCTCCTACTCCAGATTGTTGTCAATTTATCCAGTGATCTGTGTGCCCTTCAGTCTGTGTATAACTGAACACTTGTCATAGGTACACTTCACTGGGTAGTCGCCGTAACACAGCCCGTAACCCTGCCTTGAGTTATGTTGACAGTAATGGAATTGTACATTACTGCCCAGCATACACACTTCAGGATGGTGCCGCTGAAAGAAATGGGAGACACTGAAGGTAAAGAAAAATATCATATTGCTTCTATAAAATATTATGTTTTCAGACATTATCCATCTTCCTGTCTGTATCTAAAAACCTTGTTTATTTTTCAAAACACACCATTTCCGAGACTGGATTCTCTCTGCATCTTCAGGTAAAACCTACTCATTTGGGCCCAGTCGATAGAGCCAGTCCTTATGTCTGGAAATAATGGCCACGCCATAGCTCAAGTGGTTAGTCACTGGCTTCCCACCGCAGTGGCCCGGGTTCAATCCTGGGTCTGGTCAAATGGAATTTGTGGTGGACAAAGTGGCACGGGGGCAGGGTTTCTCTGAGTACTTCAGTTTCCCCTGCCAATCTTCATTCCACCAAATTCTCCATCATCATAATCACCCGGGACAGGCTACAATAGGCCAATCAGTGGCTGCCATGCCAAGTGGACCCGGTTGGACTCCACCCCCCACTAAGTGAAATGTCCAGAAATAGGGACTGGCTCTATCAATTGGGCTCAACTGAGTAGGTCTTACCTGAAGATGGAGACAGAGTCCAGTCTCCGAAACATTGTGTTTTGAAATATAAACAGGACGGTATTTAGATAAAGGCAACATAATGGATAATGTCCAGAAACATAACATTTGTACTAATGTAACATTGTCAGAAACTGTTAGATCTTATTAACATTGCTTCTGCCTGCAATTTTGATCAATTCCCTGCATTTGAATGCCGTATAAAGAACGTGGAATTGGCATAATGACTCGCACTCAGGCAGCACCCAGTTCAAACCTCCAAGCAGCAGTGATCTGAACTTATCTAAGGGATGATACACATGTAATTTCCAATACTGACCCTTGCATGTCTGAATGTCTGTACAGGTACTGCTGTCCCCCTTATTTTAAACCCATTCAAATTAGTGTGATGGCAGTACTCTTGGTTGTCGACTTATGACTGACTTCTGTTCTGACTGACAGGTCGTAAGTTGATCTGGTCGTATGTCGGCCATATATTTATTAACAGTATTTTTTAACCTTTCTAATCTTTTTATCATCTTTATAATTTATTTTCAAAAACTTTTGCGTTTGTGTGTGTGTGTGTGCGTGCGTGCGTGTGTGTGTGTGTAAGTCAATGACCAAATGTACTGAACAGTTTAGGAAATGGTTTCTATCAGTACTTCTGAGTAATGCAGAGATTTTGTTAAGGCACAATGAATAAAGGTATTAACTTGTATATTGTGACAGACAAAGCACCACTTCTGATTACCAGTAATCATGTCAAATAATGATAATTTTTGCAACAGGAATCATCAATTATGAGTGAAAATGTGTGACTCTGTATCATCAGCTGAAGAGCTGGAGCAACTTGTGGCCATTGCTTTCGGTCCAGAGGGTCGAGCAGTGATGGTACAGCAGCCCACCGGCCAGTTCACCATTACTCGTAGTGGCCACAGTATTTTAACATCCATCTACCCAGAGCCTGATCCCAAGCAACCTGCACAACACATGCTTATTGACTGTGCCAGGAGAGTCCATGAATCTTTGGGAGATGGTGTAAAGAGTTTCATAATAATGACATCATCACTGTTGAAATACTGTAAATCCCTTGACAATCCCACAGATGTGGCGAGACAGCTAGGCATGCTAGGAAGGCAGCTGAGTTCATTTCAGTGCCAGAGAACAGAACTACCTGCAGTGAATGACAGTGTTCTGACAGAGAGAATTGTCTGCTTTGAAACAGTTATTCAGACTTTCTTTTCTACTCGATTCCCAGCTCCCGTTTGCAATTCCTTATCCTCCTTATTGTGTCAGTGGATTCAGTCTAATACAGGCAGTGCCCTGGAACTGAAAATGCAGTCTTATTCCCAGCGCACACTACAGACATTGCTGAAAGATTTTTCAGTGCTCTGTCAGTACAAGAATGGAGGGTCTAGACCAGTTTCTGACTCATTCATCCGGCAAGGCTCTAGACTATGTCGGCCTGCCATTAATCTGTCAGTGTCTGGTCCATGCAGAATACACTTTCTGATGCTTGGTGACAGTGACTCTCCAGGTAGTGGTTGTTTCGATGATATTGATATCCAGAGCGAAGTAGAGAGATTTCTCAATAATCTCAGGACTGAAGGCTGTGAATATGAAAGAATTTTACTTGTAACTTCAGCCATATTGTCAGACCTAACACTGTTCCGCTTAAGATCTTTAAACATTGCTGTTCTACAAGGCATCTTGCCAGAAGAAGTAAATTACATATACACTGCCATGTTTCCCTTGCAGCGGGAGGATTCCAGAGAAACTGTAATCAATGTAAAACCTGAAGTGGACTGTACTTGGTTAGAAATACCAAACATTTATCAACTTATCCTGCATGCACCAACATCTGAACTAAGTACAGAATATGCCTGCTCCTGTCAGAGTGCCATTAAACTTTGCATCGTTGCTGCTTCTCATGCACTGATGCCTAATTTCAGTCCATGTGTAACAAAGGTTGGGGGCTCTTTTGAAAAAGCCCTTCAAATGCATCTTGCAGTAGAAAGTGGAAAGAGCTTGCATGATCCTTTGTCATGTGGAGTGGCAAATCGTGCAGAATTAATGGAATGGCACAAACAGTATCGAGCAGTTTCTCAGAATTCACAAAGCACTGTTAGTGGAAGTGATACTTGTAGAAGGGACAGCAGAAGTCAGGTAGAAAATTTGGGTACAGGTGCCACTGTTAAAACAGAGGCCATTAATGAACACACTTTAAGTGCCACATCTTTGATCAACATACCTAATTTCAACGACCTGCATGACACTTTCAGCAAAATGACACTGCTTGACAATGCTACCATGGACCAAGTTCTGTGGCATGTAAGTAAAGCCTGTGCTGGGCTGGATGCAGATGTTATGGGAGCCCTTGTGAAAACGTTGCTTGCAGTGCAAAGAAGATTGCCTCATTCTCACAAGATGAAACAGAACTCTGGTTTAGAACCTGTCGGCCTGAAGCTTTGTATCTTGCAGCATTCCCTATGTGCTACTGCCAGTCTGCTTAGGATTTCTGGAATCTTACAGGTTAAAAAGAAGTTACCTTCATAGGAGTGTCATGTGTGATTTGGGGTAGATCAAGTGTCACAGGAATAGCCGAATGTGACCTATGTGTGAGGTAGAAGGCTGGGTCTATCCTTGTATGTGGGGAAACAAATCTAGTTTGTTGTAACACCATGTATGTCGAGTGCACAGTGGGTAATTGACATGGGTTTTTGTCAAAGTATGTATGAGATTGAAAATTATAATTCTCAGGAGCAGTTAATGTTATTTTATATACTTCTGACACCAAATTGTCACGTGTTGGGTATGTCTTGCGCGACACACAACTTTATGCCATCTTGGATGTAGCAAATTTATAGCACATTCACTCGTACACTTATACAATTCACAATTACACAATTACCTCCTCTGCTCTCAGCGACTGCTAGACTTCAACTGCACTGTGTCCCTCCTGATCACACACTCTCTCGTCACATACTGCTCAGCTGGCTTTTTATACTGTTCCCTGTTGCCTCATGTCAACAACGGTGTCCCCTGTTATGTCACCGCGGGGGAGGGGATGTTTACCGAGCATTGCGTAATGATGGAAGGAGTGAGGGTGTGATGTCACTCACGAGACCCCTACTTCCTGTTGCGCCATCCACGTCACAATATACTCTTCCTATTTTCACATAAAAAGAAGTCTCAAATCTGAGACAGTAAAATATGGTCTCGAGTCCCGAGGGACTCAGACCCGAGAAAGACTGCGCTGGCAAGGGCCAGCAGCACATACAAAAGTCAGACCCGTCCTCTCGTCAGAGAGGGCGCCCCACAAAAACAAAACCGTAACTGTTAAAGGTAATAAATATCTGGTCATGAGCCCCAGATGGCGCTTGACACCAAGACTTACTGACTGACCAACTGTCAGTCGCAATGTGACTCGGACATAAGGAGTAGAAACTTGGAACTGGCCCAATTGAAATATCAGCAGACCACAAGCAGTGCACTGACAAAGTCGGTTCAAGTAGAAGAGCTTTTGGCCTACATTCATAAGATGCCCATTTCAGATCTTGGCTGGGACATCAACTATCCTGGCTCAGAGTTTCTGTGTTTTTCATCAGCTCTCACGGAGAATGGTGGCATAGTATCATAAATTAAGCTATAACCACTTCCTTTCACATCTTTCCATTTCACTCTCATCCTATCATTCTACACTACTGAGTTACTGACAGTGTCATTAAATGAACTACAAAAAAGCAATGCAGTCTGAAAGAAAGAACAGATAAGCAGAAACACTGGTGTGGACATAGGTTGCATATGGCTGACTATAAAATTCTTATGAAAGTTTCAAAATTGGGGGTGCTGAATAAACAACTGCTGTGGAGGTTAAGGGAAAGGCAAAGCAGGGAAGGAAGTGAAGTTGTACAAAAGCCAGTGAGAAGAGAGTGGACACACATGGCAGAAGCACTTGAGGAACGTAAACAAAAATGGAGAATTTGTTATGGGACCTTGTTCAGAAGATCATGACTTATTGATGATATCCTTGCCTAAATCAGCATCAGTAACATGACTCCATGTCTGTTTATGTAACATATTGAAGGCAACAAATGAAAGGTTTCCTGGCCAGTCAGGTACTGGCATTTCCTCCAGTAACAATGTAAATGTTCCCTCTGTGATATGGGTCATCAGAGCTTCATTCTTTTAAACAGGGTACACTGCCAGAAGTCTGAGTCTATACGGGTTACCTTGGTCTCAAATCTGTTGCTTCGCAATGCTGTGTGCTGTGCAGTGTTGCTGTAAAATAATTCCTCTCACTGTCCAAAAACTTGCTCTGTGGACCACACTGGACCTGCAAGCTTATGCAGTTATGCAGACTGTCTGTCCTGGTAGTGGGTTACACTGGTTTGGAACCCAGCTGACCAAAATTGTGAACTCTGCTCCTAACATTCACTGTGCACGGTACAGAGTATATGTATGCAAGAAATGTATCTCATGTTGATATTCAATGCTTTTAATTATAAAACTGAATTTAATACCAAAGCAACATAAGGAATTCCTCATTCTTAATGTCAGCATAATTATAAGTTATATCCTCATAATTAAGATGTAATAAATAATGATTGAAAGAGTATGTAATTTTATATTTCTAATTAACACTGCAGATTTCTCAGTACAGGTGCTGTATGGTTCACCAGACGCAGATGTTAGGACCAATGGCTTCTGAATTCGTCATATTTTAATATGGATAACTAAACAGGGCACTCATATACTCAATATTTTGTTTTCAAAGTTCTCAAGCAGTATACCAAACTAACAAATTTGTTTGAAAATATGATTTTCCTGATCTGGAAACATACTAGTCTATAAAGTCTTCACATTGCAAGGTGCCCTATAAATTTATCAATGCATCTTTTCCCCTTGCCTTACCTCTCTATAAAATAAAACTTTCTGTGTGTGGGAAATTCCTGGTCTTCACTGTGGTTTGAAACCAGTGTTGATCTGTATGTCCCCTGTGCCAGCCATCGTCATCCTGTGACTGCAGGTACTGAAGTCCGTCTCAAAAATGTTCTCAGCACAGAAACGGTCTCCTTCATGACCTTTCAACATCCTAACCTTCTCACTGAGAAATCCCTCATGACCAAAAATTTAAATTCACACAGACTATCTAACAATACCCCTTTTTCTTTCCAGAAATACAGTTTATTGAAAACTTGAAGCACAAAATTTTTTAAGACTGTTATCTTTCAAGATGTCATGCTATGTAGTCTAGTAGTATTTTAACAACATTTTGCCTCTGCTTCTGGGTCAAAGAGTAAGTTCAACCAGCAAGCAGACCCTGATTGATGCTTATGTGTCTGCTTGGCTTACTCTTTGATCCTGAAGGAGGAGGAATTATGTTCATTCAAAATTCAGTAAACTTCTACCAGACTGCATGACATTACATCCCAGATGATAAAAAGTCTTCATAACCACTTCTATGAGGATGTCAAATCTCACACAAAACTTCTGAGCTCCCCTTAGATTGGAAGCCTCCATGTCCACTGCTAAAGGTTAAGTGCTGTCCTCAATATGGCCACTAGTCAGCTTCCTCTTCTGCCCTATCCTGAAACTTCTTCAGGTTCTGGCCCAGGGGTCTGGTAACTGCTAAGGCAAGTAACAAATCAACTTCCTCACAACAGATGTCACTGGGAGATAAGACGTTAATACTTTGAAATGTTGGGGCTCGAAACAAACATTTACATAGAAACATTAGGCCTGGAGGGGGTATCAAGAAGTTGCAACATTTCTGTAATGTGTACCTGACCCTGAGCCAAGTCATGTGTCTTGCAACACAAGACGAATTTATATTTTATTTAAAAAAAATAATGTTTACTGAGGTAACACCGTTTCATACATCTCATCAGTTCACTTCTTTGTGTCTTGTATAGTTAAGATGGCTTCAGCCAATATAGGATGTCTTGTTGAAGGACATGGACTTCCTGCAGAAGTATCAGCCAATCAGCATGATCATTCATGCAGCCTGCAGAAATTAAGACATTTCAATTAATGGTACAAAATGGCAAAGTACAATTTGTCATAGCAGTTATCACATATTGAGATGCGTGACTCTTAGACAGGTTTTGGATTGGATGATTTGGTTTTATTGACACCTTACACACAACTTGGGACTACAGGAAATTATAGTGCTATCACTGATCTACACACTTCTCAAATCACTGGACACGCTGAGTCTTCTCAGTCTTCGCTAGCTGTATCTGGGCAACCAATTTATAACTGTCTTACTGTAACTGCAGAACACTATGAAGTTGTCTCTACACAGCCTAATTCCTTTCTTGTCATTTCTTCTCAATTATTCTCCCATCTTCCAGTTCCAGAGACACTCAATTCTCTGCTGCAACAATCAACTCCAGAACTCAACTGCCTTAAACGATCTGCTTTGTTCTTTTTATAAACCCACAGCACAGAAAACACAGCTCTTCTATTGTCGCATGTATTCGTTTATGCAGAAACGTGTTTACTCAATTGGTCCATCGTAACGGCTGTACATGTCACATCTCATATCGTGACACCTCCTCTGTTGCTGTGTGCTGGCATTACCTAGCATCAGACATTTCTGTGTCTCCAAAATTCTTGCTTTGAGTAAATATGGCACATTGCTCCCTTCTTAAGGCTGCTCATCCTGAGTAGCATATCGGTGTATCACCATTCCTTTCTGAGGGCTGTGATGATTGTGACATCTCTGATCAGTCTCACCCTCCTTCCCATGGGTCAGTTTTTCCACTCCTGCTGCTCCCTCCTTAAGGCCACTCATCCCAAACAGCTCTGTGACAGGGTGCCAGTCGATCCAGGTGTGCCACCATTATAAGTCTTAGATCCATATTTCAGTGATGCTTTCTGGTTTTGGCTGGTGTCTCTTCCCAAACATCCGTCCCTTCTGAGCTCCTCATACCAAATTGTCCTGGCCATGTCCCTTCCGCCATGCCACTCCTGCATGGCAGGTCATCCGTCTGCCGGCAGTGGCCAACTTCTTCTGGGACCCAGCAACATTTTATACAGATTTTGTTCCCAAGTCATCTTATAAGATGCAGATCAACAGCTCGGGAAGCAAACATTTTTTATGTGATCTGAGACATGGAATGTGACACCATGTGAGCTGGTAGACAGTTATCAATATTTCAGAGGAACCTTCTGCCTCCATTTGCATGGCATATTGCCTCTACCCTGAAGATGGAGGCAGCAGGTTGGTAACTTTGTGTTGCATCCCTGGATAAAGTAATATTCAATCAATTTTAATGTTGGAGCATGCCAATTTAAAATTACTACCCAAGACAAACTCTGAGTGTAAATAGTTTTTGCTTCTTTCTGGACTCTGGACAAAGAGATTAGTACTCCATCATGTTCACTCACCTGAAATGAAGCAGAAGATGATGATGGAATGTCATCTCCGCTTGACAAGGGATGCAACATAAACCCACACAGACAGCACATTGTTAGGAAATGGGTGGACATAGACAGCCAGCGCAAATTCTACATCCGGACTCTCGTTGTAATGGACACCTGTAGCCTTCATAGCCTCTGTAATTGCTTCCATATTGGTGTAGGGAAGGTTGATAGGAAACCCACACATCTGGAATAACACACAGTGAAAACAGGCAGAGTGTAATTTAAAGAAGTCTTCAGGGGATTAGAGGGTTAGTTTCCAATGTATAGTTAGCTAGTTAGGCAGATAATCTGTTGCCTGCTTAGTTAATGTGTTTGTTGGCTAGTTCAGTGATTGATTGGTCATAAGGATTAAAGTAACCCCTCAGAACCATTGCACGCACCTTGTGGGAACCCAGAATGTGCTGTAACTCTTGAATGTGGTCAGGGGTGGACAAGTTCTGCTGCTTCCATGTGGCGTGCTCTAATGCTGGCAGCAATTTGCGCAGGATAGCGATGCAGTAACGGTTCCACAGAGTCCTGCATTAAATTTTTACATAGCAAATTAAGACATGCTCATAATATTATTCGCTCTTGTGGACTTCTACAGATAATCTGTCGGACTGAAAATATGGTAGTGAAAGTATACAAGGATTTAATATGTGAGGTTTGAGGTTTTCACAGTGGTTGCAATGAAGATTACTGTCTTCTGCGAGTTAAGATTTTCCTCCGTTTAAGATGTTCTTCATTTTAAGTGCTCAAAGCCATTGGTTCTCAAAGAAACCTTTAAGTGGGGCTCTCACTGTAGTCAGATCATTACCAACCTTCGGAAGGATCCTACTACTTCCATTTGAGCGTAGAATATGGAGGCAGTGGGTTCCGCCAAACTGATCCATTAGCCATGGCATCACATCCCAGAAGCTGTAATCTTCCAGGATTTAATAGAATTGGAGTAACTGTCTGTAGTGATCAGTTCATTACAGTTTCTACTGAAGGGAAATAATACCAAATTTATTTCAATCTGATAAATGGTTTGAGAGATGGAACATGATGTCGCTTATGTTTTAATTCTACACAATTCATTCAAGTAACACATGAAAATTTCTTGAAATTAGAAAGAAATTTTTGATCAATATAGCATTTACTGCACTCAAATATAATCATATATAACATGGGTAAGCATGCTGCTGAATCTGACACAGAACATAAGAATAAAAATTTATAATCCCTCGCTTTATCAACGTATGTGAGTGAATGCTGGACAATGAAAGCAACAAAGACAAAGGCAAATTACAACTGCTGAAATGAATTTTATGAGACGAATGGCAAAATACACATGCATGAACCATAAAAGAAATGAAATATTGAAAGAACTGCAAACACGACCTATACTGAATAAAATTTTAAAATCGCCTGTATTCAATACTTCACCACGAAGCAAAGAAACATTTGTGAAATCACAGGGATCAAGGACTTATAATAGTGAAGTAGCCATCTACATTACTGACTGTTGATGATGCTCCCCCAAAGATACTTTAGACAGGCATGTCAAACTCAACTTGTACAGAGGGCCACCTCAGCCCTACAAATAATAGTCCAGGGCCGCACTTCAAAATAGAAATATACATTAGATTTTCATACAAGGAAATTTAATTCTATTTATTATTTAGGAATAATTTCAATATAATTACCTAAAGTCACATATCTTAGTTTTAAAAAGCAAGAAAATGCCATTTTTGACAAGTATCAAACAGTTTTTCAATATGTAAAAAGAGAGATTACACAAGAAGTTATGTTAGAAATAGCAAAACATTGAATTTCATGCAGGCTGCTAATTTACGTCTGCATGAGACTTCTTTTCTTCTGGTCTGTTGGAAAATTGTCTTTACAAAAAATATTTCTACTAAAATTTTAATATTGATTTTAATATCAATTAGCTCTAAAAGTTGAGGGGCTGCACTTTGTGGCTATGGGGGCCGCATGTTTGACATGGCTGCTTTAGACAGACAGTATTATTCCTACATTTGGGTCTGAGACACTCCATTGTAGATCTGGTTCACTGTTTAAAAACTGTTTGGTTTATTCAGAAGTTAGTGGCAGGAGGGAAACAAGACAAATCCATTTGGATACAACAGTCTGTAAGCTTAACCCTCATTATAATCCCCTGTCCATGTAAGAAGTCAGAGGCAAAGGTTGCTATATCATGCTGGATGGTAAGGCCTATTGCACACCCCAAGAGCAGTGACAGATAAAGATGGAGCATTGGTGAAATGGTGATCTGGCAGAAGGAATTCAAAGTACTTGAAGCAAAATCTTCCCTAATGTCAGTCTGACCACCATAAATTCACATGGACTGCCCTGGGATTGAATCCGAGCTTCTACTGTGAGAAGTCAGCATCTAATTGCTTAAGGTATGGCACAGTTTGTAAAATAAATAAAAGGTAACGCTATGCCTGTAACAGGATGTGGAGGCCTATAAAGTTGTGAGACGTTGAGGCTCCCATATTTTCTAAACAATCGGCTCGCAGATGGCGGTGAGGTTGTCGGCCTTACATGCCGGCTGAAAAAATAAGTAAAGTAACTTAAGAAGAGTGACCTTGCTGTCTTTCTCCACTTCATGAGAGAGTCCCTCAGCTGCTTCTCAATTCGGTCCTGCAGCAACTGTGTGGCAGAGACTGAAGTGGCAGTGTAGTCTAACGATGCAGGCTGAACACTCCCCATAGGAGCCCCTATGCTGCGTCCAAAGGCAGGTCGCCAGTCAGAACGATGACTTATGTCAAATCTTGTACGCCATGGCAATTCCTCTTGCTGTACATTAACCCAAATCTAGATATCCAATCCACATAAAAAAGTTCCACTTAGTACTCAAATTTGAATGCTCATTGCGATTACATTTGCTTCTAGTTTATTTAACACCACTGCCAGTGACTTAGACTGTGGAGTGTCAAATGATTGGAAAGGATGTAGAAGGCAGTGGTTGTGGCCTAATTTATGCTACTATCCAAGCACTTGCATGGAGGGACTGATGAAAACCACAAAAAACTTTCAGTCAGAATGGCTGTGTCCTGGCCAAGATTTGAACTAGGCGTCTCCAAAACACAAATCAGAAATGTTGCCATCCTAGCCAACTTAAAGTCAAGATGGCTGAACTGTAACCAAGCAACTATTGCTTCTCATCCACAGTATGTAGTCTGATGTAATACTTAATAGCAACACTGTCAGTAGCTCAAACTCTATAGTGTTAGGATGAGTAATGAATGATGAACTGGAAGGGATGTGTAAGGAAGTGTTCATGACCTGTTTCAAAGTACTATCCTGGCACTGATCTGGAGGAACTGAGGAAAACCACAAAAGGTCTCAGTCAGTACAGTCACTGTTCTGGCTGAGATGAGAATCAGGCATAAGACAGGAGTGTTTGTGCCTGAGGCAACTTGCTCAGTGAACCTGAACTGTAAAATGCAGTGGGCATAAAACCTCCATTCACAGATTTACTAATGGTCTGGCTAAGTGAATGCCAGGCAGACAAGGATACATTAATCTGCACTGTTACTGCAATCTAACTCAATGCGCACAGCCCTTCTTGAATGGATGATGTCATTCACTTGGTGAAGATATTCCATGTTTTTTTGGAACATGATTCATAACCATGTTCACCAACAAAGGATCATATTTCAGTCTAGCTAAATCCAGTCCACACCTTCACAATCAGTTCCTCTAAGAGCCTTATGAACACTTTTACTCCCAGCAACTCTGCTGCCAGCTCCCCTCTCAGCCCAGCGGTTCACAGAGTTTCACAGTAAAGTGAATAGCAGGCAATACACATATATCCAAGAAATTGCAAAATGTAGTTACATGTACTGGGGGTTGAAGGCTAATAAAGGGCTCTGGTGGGGTGCACTGATGCCAGTAGTTGCACACCATCAAGTACCAGAACGCCACCTGTCAAGTAGGGCTCTGCCGGCAAATCCTAGCTCCCCTGCCTCATGGTGACCCCTAAGCAACACATTCTGGGGTGAGACTACAGATGTGACAGACGAAGTGGGGTGAAAGACAAGTGTCTGGCACCTTCAAAAGAGACTCTCTGGCTAAGGAAAGGAAAACCCCTGCAGAGAAACCAAGGGAAGGGGGGATTTTTAGATGTGGTGAAGCCAACACCTTGACACCTTGACAGAAAAACATTGGCCCTCCTAAGTTAAGGTGGTTGGGTAAAGATTAACAACTTCTCCCCAGACATTACTTGTTCAGGAACCCAAAAGGGAGGAAAAGGCTAAACTTAAATGGACCATACAGCCAAAGGAGAAGAAGTTACATGTATTTCATAGCAGCAGAGAAAAGAACATGTGCTCAAAAGAGATACTTATCTCATCATAATGAGTTTGTATGCAGCCTCTGAAATGGCAGTCTGATGAATGACCAGTTACCCCAGATGTCTGAAATGGTCTCTTCCACAGAGGATTTTAGACTAAAATTTTTGCTAAAGCAGTTGTCAGTCCTAAGCCCATGGCCCATGATTGCTTATTCAACACACTCGCTCGTATCGGAATGAGAGAAGTAGACACTCACATTTTCATCATTAACGAGACAGAACACTTTCTGTAGAGGACAGAAGCTATCCTGAATGCTATACTTCTGGCCAGAGGAAGGATCCCATAGCCAGTAACTGAACTTGTGTTGCTCTTCCTCCCTTGTAAGTACATATGCAGTCGGCCCGTGTGGTATCCCCACACCAAGCAGCAACCAGGCTTTCTTACCAAGGTGCATAAGGAAACAGCAGAGTAACACTGCATGGTCCTCAGAGTCGCCAGATAACAGACGCACGACTTGCTGAAAAGCAAAGCCTTCAATCAGTTGCAGTTAGGCGAGTATAAACATGCATTCCAATATGATGTAAAGCCATGCCTCTTTTCCAGATACTTTCAGTGCAACTTTACAGGCACCATCGGCAGAGCGGCTGCAGATCTGCTGAGAAATATCAACCATTAATTATTATAAGATTTACTGACATGTTATCAAGCATGGGCCTACACAAATCATGACAAATCATCATGGCATCTAAAATTCTCATAATGACTAATATCTTCTTTCTTTCTTTCTTTCTTTGACCTGTCAAAGATAAAAGAGCGAAATAATTTATTTCTTCCTTTCCTTTATCACTTTCATATCTCCATCTTCTTCTCCCTTTATTGCTTTCCCATCTCTTTTATTTGTCCTACTGGCATTCCACTACCTCTTCCTTTCTTCCTCTTCTTTATATTAAAGAAGCTCCCTTGCATCTGCTCTCCCATTCCTCTGTCCCTTTATCTTCCTACCTCCTTCTCTCATTATTAATTTCTTGTCCTTTTTATTTGCTTGTCCTATCCCCATACCGCAGCAATTGTGTGTAGAGATCTTCCCAAGCACAAAACAAACAAGACTATTACTTACATGTAGATGTTTCAGTTCTCCTTTAAAACCAGCAAATTTTTCATCCAAAGTACGAGTATAGTGTGGTCATATTTTATGTAAATTTGAAATAGTGTGACAGAAAAATATTAATGAAGTCTCACTTCATGTGCAGAGTTTGAAATATTGTGAATCCCAAGAAACTGGGCAAGACTGACCTATGTGTTTCCTCGCATACAGTGAGACAACACTGTAACTTGGCTTCCATCCTGGCTCCTTGTTTATGGAGACGGTTCCTAGTTTATAGGAAATATATGCAGATCTGGTCATGCAAATATGTACCATTAGATTTGTAACTGCTGATCACAGTGGCCACACAGCCTAAGGCATGAACTGTCTTTGCCTGCTCGAACACTGGGACAGCAGGTTTGAATCCCACCGAAGGCATGGATGTTTGTCTGTGTTTATTCTGTGTTTGTGTAGGTACAGGCCTTGTGACAGGCTGATCTCCATCCAAGGAGTCCTACCAACTGTCTTAGAATTAAGAAACTGAAGTGAAACAAAGTATTTCATGGGTGCCTTGTGCTCCAAAGTGAGAGCAACAGGAAAGAGAGCGAGAGAGACATTTGTACCTGACGGTACCTCTTGTTTGACTGGGCACCACTTTACCTTGCCAGGTGAAAGCAAAGCTATCAGTGTGCTTGATTAAGCATCATGCCACGAAGAAGCATTGGAGTGGAACCGCAATTCCATGCATTCTTAACGCCAGCACTAGATGGAAGTGAGAGATTATCTGCACAATTCAACTTCTTTAGCCCTGGGAAAACAGTCCACTAAATATGCAGCTGAAGAAGGCACAGAGCCCATTTGGAAGGTATGAAAGAAAGAAGAATCTCTTACCTTTGTGAGTAATTGAATTCTGACACCTGAGTTATAGACTGTAGCCTAGCCACTGTACTGACTAAGCTATCTCTACTCCAGTTTACTTAATGTCAGTAGCATATGACATCTGGTGCTGTTATGATCGTTAGTATCACCATGCCAAATTCCTTGCATTCACCCTCTTATTATACAGATATCAGCAAACAGGCCCCAACACTCACTTAGAGTTAAGTGTGTGAGAGTGGACTTAGCAAAGCTTCCATCATAGTTAGCATTCACTGGCCTCTGTAAAGTAACACAACTGCGCACATGCTCTTTTATAAATATTTTCTGCATCTATGAATCAAACCAACTTGAAATGGAGAATAAGTACTGAGTTTACTTACATCACACGTAAGCCAGATGTCAAACAGCCCTGGAAAGAGAGTGCTGCCAGCTATCATAGGTATCATTGACACAAAGCGTGCAGCCATTTCCTCTGTTATCGGCTCTCCTTCTAGCAGCACTAGAACAATGCAATACAGCTATAGTGACTGTACAGGAAAGATAACATATATGAAATATGCTCCTAATGTGGAATATCTTGTATTGGGAAATAAAATGTGAAAACTGCAATGAACTGCCTTACAGATACTTGGATGAAGCCAAGTAATGATCACTCATTTCAATTTTGTTCTTCCCAGTCACTAGATGACAGCATGATTTTCCGCAAAGAAGAAACTGAGTTTATACAGTGATATCATGCAGAATGGAGGTGGAGAAAATGGCGTGCTGTATGTTAATTACACAAGTAAGCTAATTAGAAGCATTAAGACAAAGTGTTCCTCCATCCGGAATAGAACAAATGTTTGCTTACAGTGGTATATTCCTCCAGTCTAGGATACCGAGATTAATGACCGTGGGGATCCGTTGTGCTGACCACGTGACGCCCTCTATCCGCAAAAGTTGGTACTATCTTCGCCAACAAGCACTCGGTCGGTCAGTTGGTCGGTCGGTATAGTTTGCTTGCAGACTACAGACCATGGAGTTTGTTTGTTTGTTTTTGTGTTATATTTCATATTGGTAACTCTACTGTTTCATGGATGAATCTTAAAGTAAATATTTTTTAAACAGAAATCTAAACCTTACTTCACATTCAGAACTCCTATAATACTGTCGCATGTTTCTGGCTCCGTGACTAATAATGATGTGTTTGGGATTGGATGATTGGATTTATTGATGCCTTCTTTTACAGGCACTCTTTTAATCACAATCAGTTTACAACGATTCACAATAAATGTCTGCGTAAGACTGAACTGTGATTGATTTCTCTTCTAGTCCGTCTTCTACTGTTCTGACTTTGGTCCGGGTTACTTCATGGCTGCCTTCTAATGTACAAATGCTATTGACTGACTTACAAATGCCCCAGTTCTTATCTGAATGCTACTTATATAGCTTTGCAGTATCCTAGGAAGTGTTTGTTGCTTGCCCGTATCCATGGACACGCCTGTTGATTCCACAGCAACGAGCTGCTTTCCAAAAGTCTTACAACTTTCATTCTAGCATTCATGGACATTTTTAACACCCAGCGATGGTTTGTGTCCAAGAGTTGTATCTCCACGGAAATGTGTTTGCAAACTTGCTTCTTAGAAACAGGCCTACATATCACAATACACTGACCCATCCTCTTTGGGTATCAGTTTGCCATATGTTTGATTTAGAAGGATAGCTTTTAGTGCTATAACATTACATCATCTCAAAGGATATAGTTCATGCAGTCACCTATAAATAATTAATCTGGGCAGGTCTGTGTGTATTGTAATGTTTGTCAAAATGTCATTTCCATGGTTATCAAATGCCAAAATTAATTTCAGTTACAATAGGCTCAGAATGTAACAGTAATAAACAACAGTGTTTCCATTGATATGACAGTGTCATCAGCTGCGATTACATTGTCAAACTTTGCAGAAGAAAGGTACCTCTAGACTGCTGTTGTTATGCTTATTCTATTAAACTGTCTTGCCAGAACTCTTCAAGTTCCAATGATATCTTCAGTAAAAATGCAATTTCAGCGTGTCCCTCAACAGCTGTAATGAATACAAATGGATCACTGGAAGTTATCTGTGGAAACTGTGGCTACAGATGGGAACTGTCAAATTTTCCCAATGAATTTTCAATGGAAATTTCACTAAATTTTATTTATTTGTTGAGTACTCTGGCTTCAAGTGTACTCAGGAGATTTATTGACCACTTATACGCACAACTTAGAACTACCAGTAATTACAGCGCCACCACCAATGTCTGCACTTCACAAATCACCACAGCACATGCTAAGTCTTTCCCAGTCTGCTGTGCCTTCACCAGCTGTTCCCTGGTAATGGCTTCTAACAGTGGAGATTCTTCAGCTTCTGCGCTCAAGTCCTCTCTGAATGGCAGCAGCTCCCTTCCAACTGACTCTTTTCTTCACAGCCTCCCGTACAGAACTGACTTGGTTGCCCCAATTATTTGCCTCTTAACTCCTTTGCATGTACTGAGTAGAAAACATCGTTTCCAAAAATACCTCTACTGTTGTATGTGTATCCACTGCCATGGGAACGTGTTTACCAAGCTGTTGTCTAGAAATGGCTCTACATGCTACAATACTCATGTTTTTACATTTGGAATCTTCACTGTTGTGTCCCACCATCAAATGTACTGTGTTTACACTTCTTAGTAATGCTATTAATACAGCATTACAAACATCTTATATCCTTCCCCTGATATGTTTCAACCCAAACTAAATCATCTTAATGTGCTCCTCTCATGCATAAAAACACTTATGTTTATGTACCTGGAGGGGCAAGGGGCCGGAAGAACCTGGTGATGCAGACAGACTTCCCACTGATGTCAATGACCAATGTCTTCACTTTTCTGTGGGGAAACTGTTTAGCCACCTGCAGCTCCCAATTTTCCAGGTGTTCCTCCATGAATGGCAACTCACTACTCTCCAACTTCTCCTAGTAAAACAAAATTCGCACAGAAGGGGAGGTTGAGGTGAAGCTCACACAATAAAAATTACTAGAGATAAAAATTTTGCAGGAGCCTGCTTGATATGAAGCATTACTTTCAGGAAAGTTTTAAATGATTTTTGCCTTGTTCACACCATGACAGTTCAGCTAGAAATGGCATCATTCACTTTGACTCCCAGCAAAGGCACTGGTTTCTTCTTTCCATTGTGCTGTCCAGAGGAGCTATAGATCCTTATATCATCCCATACCACTGGTACTTACTTCATTTTGACATTCAGAGCACTGGGCAGAATGCGTAGTCAGTATAGCGACTGGCTACAGGCTGGACGACCTGGGGGTCAGAGTTCAAGTCCCGGTGGGGTTAAGAATTTTCACTTCTCCACATCATCCAGACCGGCTCTGGGGTCCACCCAACCTCCTATCCAGTGGCTACTGGAGGCTCTTTCCCTGGGGGTAAAATGGCAGGGGCATGAAGCTGACCACTCACCTCCAACTAGTGCCGAGGTCAAGAAAATGTGGATCTATACATCCACTCCCCCATACACCTTCATGGCATAGTGCTTAACTAGTTAAGGACAGGGAAGCGGCCTCCGTAGTCTAGAGGTAACGTTCCCACCTCATGACTCGTGGTACGCAGGTTCAAATACCCGGCGGAGGTCGTCGAATTTTTAAGGGCGGAAAAATTCAGGGAACAAGTCCTCCAGGAGGGACTTTAAGCTGTGTGTCCTGTGTCATAACTTTACGGCACGTAAAAGAACCTTACATTCTCAAAGGGGATCACTGAGCCAAATTCCAGGACGTTTCCCGCCCAACAATAGCCTCTAAGGCCTCTGATAGATGGGGGAAGCATTATAGACACCACTAAGNCTAAGCAAGTGGCCGAACTCGCTTGCTCGGCGGGACTGATGGTACGCACCATTTATCGGTAGGGTAAAGAGACTGGTAGAATATCATAGAGGGAAGCACAATAGATCAAACTGGTCGCGGTGCATGGGGAAACCCACCCTCTCTAAATAACTAACTAACTAAGGACAGGGACAAATTTACCTTACCGCTGGTACTAGCAATACCTTTTGAGGGAGTTAGGACTGTCAGAGGATGAAGCTGACCACCACCTTTTTCTAATGATGGGCTGAAGAAAGATTTGATATTAAAGTCTGTGTCAGCGACTCAGGTGGCCAACAAAACGTTCTTAAAGTAAGCATAGGGTAGAGTGAAGTAGGAAGGTCCAGACTGAGATGGCTGGATGATGTAGAGAATGAATAACAAGAGCTGAGAGTGAAGAAATGGAGGTAAAAAGCAAATAATTTAGAAGGATAGGGATATCTTGTAAAGGAGACCAAGGTTCTTAGGGGACTGTAAAGCCAAGGGGTAATTTACAAAGTCAATGATTGAGTAACCTGATTTTAACTGGAACTGGCAAATTTTAAGGAACCCCCCCCCCATATTAAATTTCATTAAAATTCGTCCAGTGGTTGAGTTGAGTCCAAAAGCCATATACAGCAAAGTTAATAGGCACATTTTTTTTTTTTTTTTTTTGCCATTTCAAACATGCCAAAAACATAACAACAACCAACCAGTCAACTTCACAACACTATTTATTTTAGCAGTTTTAGTGTCAGCCTTAAAAGGCACAACATATAAAAAAAGGACTTGAAATTTTTAATTTTGTAGGTTTTGATTGGAAATGAATTTCTTAAACTGTAATTTCTCTGAATGAAACACTTAACATTATATTATAGTTGCATCCAGCAATACAGAATATCAGTTGTGTTGCATACAGAGAATCAGCCTCATCAATGCTGAAATTTCATTAATTTTTTTAACCAAAAATCCAATCATAGCATCGTAAGGACTACATTCACCTTAAGGAATAGGCAGTGACTTAAATCATTAATATTTAAGGTTAATAATAAGAGGAGCTTTATCTCCATAAATCCTATGTGATACTTAGTTCTATTTATACTGTTTTAGCATCAACATGGAACCTTGAAGGGCTCTGGAGGGTTCAGGGGAGGTTGAACTGTGATGAACAGGCTGAGGAAAGTTGCATCTCTTTGGGGTAAGCCTGGCTGATTGTCTCCTGGGATGGTGAGAACACTGAACTGACGATGGTGTGACTCCTTCTCATAGCCCAACAAGATCGGTGGAGAGTACAACTTGAATGTTCCCTCAATCTGAAACACACAGCAATATGATACAGTCAGAAAATTATCACAGCTGTGACAAAATAGATGTAATTAAGCACTTATACTCATAATTAAGTAACCAAGTATGAATGAATGAATGAATGAATGTATAAGGGGTGGGCCTTCTTGGCCCTTGCACCACGACCACAGTGATCTATTGTGCCTCGAGTAACGAAGTAACTAACAAACCAGATAATTAATTCCTCAATACTTTGTTCTGGAACACCTTCAGACACATACAGAATAGGTATAATTATACATATTTGAAAGCAGCCTCCGTAGTCTAGGGGTAACGTTCCCACCTCATGACCTGGCGGAGGTCGTGGAATTTTTAAGGGCAGAAAAATTCAGGGAACAAGTCCTCTGGGAGAGACTTTAAGCCGTGTGTCCCGTGTCATAGATTTATGGCACGTAAAAGATCCTCAAGTCTATAGGAGACCTCTGAGCAAAATTAGGCAAAGTTTCCCACCCAAGTATTTTCCAATTCCTCCAGTAGATGGGGAAGTATCAGGGACCACTGCCAGAGAGGGCCAACCTCGCTGGCAGAACGGGGCTGATAGCGAACACCAGTATTGGAAGGGCATGGCAACTAGTTAGAATAATTAAAAGGGGGACGCACAATAGATCAACAAATGGTCGCAGTGCATGGGGAAACCCACCCCCTCCAAATAATAATAATAATAATAATACATATTTGAATCTGTATTTCTTAAGGAAGGACAGAGGGTGACAACAGATTCTAAAGTTCCATTATCATAACACATTCACCTACCCTTGAATTAAAGTAGAGGGTGGAGAATGGGATCTGCAGACTCCCCAGCCAGTTTCGTTCAAGTCGTTGATGGATGTTGGTCTCTCTCATTCGATCATCTTCCAACAAGTCAACTACGATCTCATCAAACAGATGAAGGTACAAGCTGTCCTGAATTGACTGGAGATTGCCAGGAGAGTAATCACCATTTGGTGGCCTGTGAATTGTATTGGTTCTTTTGATTTATCTTAATCCATTTCCATCAGAATGACAGCATGAACATTTCCTTGCTTACCTTTTTTACTTGACATATGATTTACAGTACCATGAAAGCAGCAGAAGTTTCTGATCCATATCTCCATTATTTCTATAATATATTTCATAACTCAAATATTAAAAGTGCTGACTGGTTCAACATTCCTTCCCCCTTTCATAGTTAACTTAATGTAAAAGTTTTCCCTGTGATTAGTTAATTAAGCACCATGCCATGACTTGAAGTATAGCTCCACCATTCTTGAGCTTAGCACTAGATGGAGGTGATTGGACGGCTTTACATCCTGGCCACTTTAACCCCAGGGAAAGAGCCCCCAGTACCCATTAGATAGGCCCCATAGCCTGTCTGGACTCTGTGGAGTAGAGAGAAATCTCTTGCCTCCTGCCAGGAACTGAACCTTAGCCATCCAGCCTGTACCCCACCACCATATTGACTGAGCTACCCTGGCTCCTACTAGCACAGTTACATTTTACAAATTCTCAAAAGAGAACATATCAATTATATTTGTAATCAGATCAGGCTAACTAGCCTGAACTATGAAAATAATGATCAACTCTGACTTACTTCAAAGGCAACTGTAAATTCTGATTCCAGGTGGGGTTTGCACCTTCTGCAGTTGTTGTCCTCATACTGACTCCCTGAAATGACACCTCCACAAATGGACGTACGGGAACCATTGAGAATCGCAAGCCTTGCTGACCTCCTCCCACTGTGTCCACATCCTTTCTCACAGGAACTTCAAATGCATGAATCACATTCACAATGACCTTGACCTCTTGACCTGCCAGATTCTGCATTGTGACCTTCTTCCTTTCCCTCCTTGTGGGTCGCAGAGGCCTCTTAGGTTGCAGCCATTTCATAAAAGTTAGTCCAAGAGTCCTGTGTGAGTAAATTTTGTTAATCTGATAAATGTAAAGTTATCCCTGTGCTTAATTAAGCACCAAGCCATGAAGACATCAGGGAGTAGAGATATAGGTCCACCATTCCTGATCTCTGCACTAGACAGAGGTGAGTGGTCAGCTTCATGCCCCGACCTCTTTACCTATGAGAAAAGAACACCCATTACCCATTTGATAGGAGGCTGGGTGGGCCCCAGAGACAGTCAGGATGCTGTGGGGTAGAGAAAAGTCTCTTCCCCCTACCGGGAAGCGAACCCTGGCCATTCAGCTCGCAGCCCATCATTATACTGACTGAGCTATCCCAGCTCCTGTTGTTAGCTTGAGTGCTGCTCCAAAAATGAATGTACTTCATCCAATTTCTTTACAAAGTTGTTATAGACAGAACAGTCTGCCAACTAGAAATGCATGTTGCATGTTTTACATACAGCCCCATAGTAAGAGGGGGCATATGGTAGCGTAGTTGGCTGAGACACTATGCTATGACCTAGAAGGTCACAGGTTCTATTCCCAATTAGATCATTCAATTTTTCAATTGACCTAATCGTTCCAGCCAGCCACACTATGGCCTGTGGGTCAACTCAGCCTTTAACACAAATGAGTACCAGGAATCTTTCTGGGGATAAAGGGTAGCTGGTGTGTAAGGCTGACAACCTCACCACCATCTGTTAGCCGATTGTCTAGAAAATTTGGGAGCCTTAACTCCTCACAACTCTATGGTCCCCATGGCCTGTTACCTCTGCCCCACAGTAAGAAATTCAGGTTCAGAAATAATGCCTTTATTCACACACATTTGTTCTCCAAATGTTGTGCTAAAAGAAATTTGGATATAATATCTATGTGATGAATTATGAAAATCAGCTGTCATGAAACATCACTACAGACACTGCGCGACAGTGTGAACAGTTCAGTTCCAATAAAAAAATTTCACTGTAATTTTTTCAGTAGTTTTGGAGATGAACAGAACACAGTCTCCCCATAATTGGTCAGTTTCTGTTCTCTGTGAAAAGAACAAATATATCTGTGGCAGTTTCAATAGGCTCAAGCAACCCTATACACATTCTTCAGTTTAGAGTTTAAGTTGGTATGGCATGATTTACCCTATGTCTGGCACTTGGTCCTCAATTACGATGTCCTGCAGTTGGCGATGCTGCTGGGCGAGGTGACACTGCTTCAGGACCCTTTGTCTCACTTTCTGTAGGAACTGCTGGCCCCAGTCCCGATGAAACTCCAGTTGATCGGAGGACAGCGTTTCCACATGTGGATCTGTACTCATCAGGCGCTTCTCATACACCTGATGGATACATACTGAATGATTACACAGGAATAAGGACTTACATAAACTAAACCCGAACAAACAACTTAATTTTTACTGCAATAAAATTCATGAAATGAACTGAAAAAAAAAAACACTTAGAAAGATTATAAAATATAAAAAGATATTTCAGAAGAATCAATATTAACCAAAATCTTTGGTACTGAATGTGTTGGCATAGCAGTAATGCTCTTAACCTATAATCAAGAGGTGCTTGGTTTGAATCTCAGCTGGAACATCATCTGGGGGTTTTTGTGGTTTTATCCAATCCCTCCAGGCAAATTCCAGGACCATACATTGACCATGACCACTGTGATACCATCCTTTAGATATTACTACATATGTTATGAGATCAGCACAAAAAATTTAAGAATATCACCCAAATATATTCTAAGTTATATGAGCTTAAAGGTTACATATTGCAGTATGTACTACTACAAAACATATCTTGTATAGACAGGGAAGTATCGGGTTACATTTGACATAAATGTATTTTTCTTCCATAGGTTATTTAACAGTTCTTTCAGTTTTGAGACTCTACAATGTCAGATGGTTGGATGATAGATAAATGATGCATTGGAAAGGCTGTGGAAGGGAGCAGTTGTGGCCTGACTGAAGTACGAGAAATATGCGGAAAGTAAAAATACAAGTCGAGTAAAAATGCAAGGAACATATTTTTTCCAGAAATGGCAGTGCTGCCATGTGAGAGGGGAACCATATGAATAGGCAGAGTTCACCGGCCACAGTCATGGCAACCTGGTGCTCACAGTGTATGTTTAAAATGGCCGTGTTAATTCAAGATCCTGCCAAATGTGAGGTTCGTGCAGTAATTTGATTTCCTCACAAGAAAGAAGAACCTGCTGCTGAAATTCATTGCCAACTTGTTTCTGCATACAGTGAAGATGTTATTAACGGGCAAAACATGGCAAAATTGTGTTGTCAATTTGAAGCAGGAAGAAGTGATATTCATGATGAAATAAGGAGTGGAAGGCCATCATTGTCACTGACGAAATCATTCAAAAAATTGATGAAGACATTCATGCTGACAGACGTTTAACCATCGATGAACTTCATTAACGATGTCCAGAAGTGTCAAGAACTGTTCTGCGTGGCTCAGGGGGTAGGCACGAGATTTCTATGACAGTGGAATAAAAAAACTCATTCCGAGGCTCACTAAGCGCATTGCGATCCATGATGACTATGTTGAAAAGTAAATAAAGATGTGTTTTAAATGTGCTACAAGTGAATAAAAAAATGCTTTACACATATTTTCTTGAGTTTGTATCTTTACTTTCCCGATATGTTTCGTATTATCCTGACAATTGCTGAGAGGGGCTGTAGAAAACCATGCAGAACCTCAATCAAGATAGCTAGTGTCCTGTCCAAGATTCAAGCTGGGCACCTTCCAAATTAAAAGTCTAGAGCACAACCTCCAAACCAACCTGTTCAGTGTGAATGTGTTAATACTGATTCTATTGCAAATAATTAGGAACGAAGCAGCCCTGACTACTCGTAAGCTACTCTCTCAGCACTTTTCTGAACACTATTAAGGAAAATAAGGAGAGCCAGTTTTCTGCCCAATTTAACTTTAGCTATAAAGCTGGCATGCTAAATTTGAGTCTGTGTCTGGTTTTCCAAATTTACCTTAAATACATCCTTTGGTATCTCTTTCTCTCGAAGTGGAACAATGCGAAGTCCACGAAACTCGGGCTCCCCCTGGTCTCGCAGCCATAATAATCGCAGGCGTGAATTTGTATCCAAATCCTCCATTTTGCAGAAATCAAACTCTACCTGCAGTGGATCTAAACGAAAGTAGTTTGGTTCTGTGTTGAACCCCATACCTGCATTCTGTAAATCATTGATAATATGCAGTAAGACATTCAAAGACTCACATACAGATACTACGAGATAATCTTACGATAATTTTTAACAGATTTAACATGAACAAGTTTTATTAGTTTATAGATGTGTTAGGGCAGCATGCAAATTGATGATGCTTCATCATGATTCAACCAGTCGAATGACTGTATTTCCTGGAACAGAGAAAAGCCAAAACATTATCAAGTATTTATGAATTTCATGTTATAACTTGCCCAATGTGGCTACAGCCATAGTGAACTACTGCATCATCCTGTCCATGCTTAACGTAGGTAGTGGGAAAGGCAACCCTCAGTATGTTAGTTTCTTAATTAGTGTGTCAAGTACCTCTGTGCTTTCTGTATGTACTTCTCTCAATTCATTTTGATTATGACTAGCATGAAGGATAATCTGAGAGTAAATAAGGAAGGGAAATGTAAGATATTACACAGCCAGAACAGAGAGACTCTCTGCAATGCATATGTTTGCATTACAAACTGTACAGTTGTGAGTAACAGAGGAACGTGACAAGAAATACACTTCCCTATATCACCACTGTCCTATCCCTTACTCCTGTGAAGCAGATAACAAAGTTCTAGCTGTATCATACAAGTTATACACAGTCTTCCTTCACCAGTAGACAATTATTCAGCTTATCAAATAATTCCCTCTTAAGGAATGTGCAAGGTACATATCTGTGTTCATATAAGCCTTCAACAGTAACCTCTCTCTCCAATTCAGTAATAGTTTCACACCAACTCCATTATCTCTCACCCATATTTCTTAATGGCGATTTTCTATATCTGTATGTAACAAATGTCTGGTTGAGCATAGTTTTTTAGGTTGTAAAACTGTGTAGTTCAGAGAGAGCCAGACATTTCAAGGAACATGTAGCTCCCATCTTCGAAGATGAAGAGTAAGCTATGCAACATCAATCTTGATGGTGGGTCAGTGTGTTTAAGAAGGCACAGCTCAAAGATAAGCCTGACACTTTTAGAAGTAAATTCCCATCTAACATTACATGTTCAACTGTTCTGAAACTCAAACAAAATAAATGGAATCTGGTAGAATGGCACGCGTAAGAACTGTAATATGGATCTGAAAGAAATTAAGTACAATAAGCATCTACAAAGGTGTTCAAAACTTATTGGGAGGAGAAGCATCTCCTTTAAGTTTTTGCTCCCCAGTGTTACACCCCGTACCTTGATGAAATAGAAGAAAGAAGCATTGCTGGGATCATTTGGGTCAAGCTGTGACTTCTCTGCCCACTCCCGCAGTTTCTCAATGTCCAGGGCACCTTCTGCACCAAGCAATGCCATCAGGTCTGTACAACTGTCCCTGTGGAGATAACATGTGGAAAGTATGCTAACAGTGATAGAAGGGAGACTGGTGCTGCAGGAGGTTCTTGGTTTGAATCTTCGACAATTTACCAGGTGTCCTGATTGAGGGTTCTGTGGTCTGATACAATCTGTCAAAGTGAAGGCAAGAATTAGTACCTTGAAATATGCCACAGCTGACTCTTAATTCCTTACCTACTCATCATCATCATCATCCTCATCGTCCTTCCCAGTATTAGCAGGGCTTGACTTATAGTTGTAGGGGCACTGGGGTAATCAAAATATGGAGGCCCCTGTTAGAAATTAGGTTATGACAATTCTTTTATTTTTGTTCTATTTCTTATAATAACTAAGCAGCCTCCGTTGTCTAGAGGTAACATTCCCACCTCATGACTCGTAGTACGCAGGTTTAAATACCCGGCAGAGGTCGTCGAATTTTTAAGGGCAGAAAAATTCAGGGAACAAGTCCTCCGGGAGGGACTTTAAGCCGTGGGTCCCATGTCGTAGTTTTACGGCACGTAAAAGAACCTCATGTCTCCAAAGGAGGCCACTGAGTAAAATTACGGATGTTTCCCGCCCAACAGTAGTCTCTAATACCTCTGGTAGATGGGAGAAGCATTATAGATACCACTCAGCTAGTAAGAGGCCGATCTCGCTGGCTGGGCGGGACTGATGGTAAGCACCAGTACCGGTAGGATATAGAGACTGGTAGAATATCATAGAGGGAAGCACAATGGACCAAGAGAGGTCTAAGTGCATGGGGAAACCCACCCCCTCCGATAACTAACTAACTATAATAACTAAAAATACAGACTAACATTTTGTGATTTTAGAGAAGCAAATGCGTCAATAAAATCTGTGGGTTCTATTTCTCTGTCAGTTTTTCTTATTGTCTGTGATTCAGTACCATAAGATACAGTTGGCTGAGAAGGTGTCATAAATTCATACTGTTTTATGCCTATAAATTAATGGTGGTTTGAAGATCTAGTATTGTGACAAAATTTACAAATTTACATCCAAATCCTTCTTTCCTTCATAGGATATGTTATATCCCAAATAATTAAAATTATTATTTTGTTCCAATATCCCATCATAAATGAAAATCTAAGTTCTAATTTACTCTGCTCCTCTACTATTAATTTTTTGCAAGATTTGTTTAGTTACATAATTAGTAAAGATTTATCAACCTCCGTCCTTTGGTCCAGTACTTCTCTGGAGGTGCCAGTATCTTCCCACCCCCTCCTTGATGCTCCTCGCTCTCCACTCCCCATCCCAGCCTGCATGCCAGCACGCCTGATGTGTAGAAACAGGTGACTTCCTTGTTACTGCCCTCTGGGAATGGACAGAAGTACGTTCCACTGCCAACACCTGCATGGCTGAATGTCAGCACTTGGTTACTGCTGAACTCATGACGCTCCAACAAGCAGTTCTGTAGCGTTATGCCACTGCAACAGTTCATTCTCTGTGAAGTCTGACTTCTTTAACATAAAACAAACTCTGTACTCAATGATAAGTGTTTCAATTCAGAACTGTGCTTCTCAGAGTATTTTTTTTTCCCAGATTTTTACAATCCTGAAAATGGCTTCCCAGGATTCATAGCATCATTTTATTTCTATATCAGATCTGTATAGCAGAACACACAAATTTGTGGGAGTTTATGGTGATGAGAATTATATATATCCATACATCCTGATGTTCATTTATTACAACCAACAATCTGACCTTGTAAAGCTAATTTCACAATAGAAACATACTGAACAAAATTTAATTTTTGTTGCATTTCACTAAATATTTACCATATCCAAAAATATTGCTAATAAAAACTGTATATCTTAAAAAGTTTAGTATTTTCTTTCACATACCAATTTTTCCTTTTCAGCAGTGTTTCAGAAAACTGATAAAATTTTGATTCAAGCTTTGTGAATTATATTGGACTCACAAAAATTAAAATTAAGTTGAAGAGTTCTATCTTCTGAGATATAATTCCATGTTATGTTATGTTATGTTATTAGAGGGGGTGGGTTTCCCCACGCACTGAGACCAGTATTGGTCCATTGTGCTTCCCTCTATGATATTCTACCAGTCTCTATACCCTACCGATATTGGTGTGTACCATCAGTCCCGACAGAGCCAGCGAGTTCGGCATCTACTGGCTTGGCGGTATCTATAATGCTTCCCCCATCTACCAGAGGCGTTAGAGACTATTGTTGGGCAGGAAATGTCCTTAACTCTTTGACTGGCGCGGGCGTGTTTTAACACCCGGACGATGCCAGCCGTTCCCTGGCGTTGGCGTGTTTTAACGCTTTGACAATCTCTTCCCTTCTTTGCTCTCTTGGCACTCATCAACCAAAGACATACATATGA